CTATCATGGTCCATACGATGACCCGCGCTTGTCCCATTTAACATCCAAATATAAGGTTGTTTACCAAATGCAATGGTAAAACAACACTGTCAAAAGGGTTAAAAATGTGTAGGAAAGATCTTTGAGTAAGATATGGTAGACAACTCTTAGTTACTTGATCAAAACATGCAAAAAACATCCTTGCTATTTTCAAACAAACCTCACAACACAATTTCAAAACATCTCCCAAAAAAAACTTTCAAACTTTCAAACATTGAAACATCTTTTCAAAAGACAATACACCTTTATATATATTCAAACAAGAATCATTACAAAGTTTTCCACAATGATGGCCTCTTTTCAAAATATTTTTCAAAACCACACACAAAGCACTATTTCAAACAATTGAAAAGCAAAAGCAAGTGATCTAAACAAATAATTAAGAGCCCATGGATAACCATTGATGAAAAGGATGCTTATACCTTCCCTTTCATAATCTACCCCCCGAACCCAAGAAAACATCTCAAAGGTCTTTTCTGTGCTTTTTGACCTTTCCTTTGGATAAAATAAAAAGTCGGTGGTGACTCTTGTTAAACCGAAACATTTTGCGAACACAAACACAAAACCTCAAGTCAGTTCTCCCACCGTATCACACAAGAGTATAAGAGAAAAAAAAATCAAATACAAGCTTAAAGTGTTTTTGACGGGTACATCTTGTAAAGAATAATTTGAATCATATATATAGCCTTGAATTCTCTCTTCTATCACTAAACTAAGTGATGTTGGAGTTGGAAAAACTTTAATTCTATATATAGTCTTGGACTCCATCTTCCTTTACAAAAATAAGTGATGTGGAACTTGTCATACCCCAATTTTCCTCTAAGTCATTCATTCACCGCATTCGCATTATTAGTCGTATTTAAGTTGACCAAAAGTCAATTTAAGTCGACATTTGCACCTTTTTATAGTTAAAAGATACATGTTATCCCAATTTGTTGTACCCCAAAATTTTCCCTCTCATTTATCATGATTTTTCTCACAAGACTTCTTAGACTCAAGACAAGATTAGGGTTTGGTCAGCTCAAGACATCTCATCTTGCACTGATCACCCAAAATTAGGGTTTGAGTTTGCACAAGGATTTTTGGACCACCAATACTTCATGTGACTTTCATACATCATCTTGGACCCCTAAGATTTCTTATGTTAAGTTTCAACCCTTGAACCACATTTTTGATCAGTCAATTGGACAGTTGACCTAAAAATAAGCTGTATTGGGGAAAAAGTCAACCATGGCCAATTTACAGTCAAACTTCATAATTTTTTATCCATATCAACATTTTAGACTCATATGTACCATTTGATCAAGTTTGGATCACAACTCCTCAAGAAATTTGATCAAATCATCAAAAGGGCAAAATGGTCAAAATTAGGGTTTTGACTGAGAAAGGGCAATTTCTGATTTTTAACCTAGCCAATGACCAATTGAGTTCAAACATGATTTCAAGGATTCAATGGAATCATCTTTACCTAATTACATGGTTCAAAAGATCTCAAGTTCATTGGATTGACAGATGAATTTTGCAGTCAACTGATCAAAAGTCAATTGTACACTGAAAAGTCAAACTTTGACTTTTTGGTCAAAATCAAGTACCAAGGGTCATAATTCATCAAGATATGTCAAAATATGAAACTTGTTCACCAAGAAACCCAAAATTGAAAATTAGGGTTTTAATTTGAAAATTTTCATAACTTAGAATTTTTCTAAGTATAAAAATTTTCTTATTTTTTTCCCAACTTTTCACCACTTTTTCACCATGATGCATTTGTATTCAAAGAAAACTTCCAACATTAAAGTTGTAGTCCTCCATGAAATCTTAAACTTTGCTTCACTAACTTTTCCCAAAATATGCTTGGATCTCAAGTTATGAATTTGTGAATATAGGTCCATGAACTTCTTAACTTAGTGAAATTTTGCCCTAATTTAGGCAGGTTTTGGACCCAACTTCATGGACATTTTTCACCTATTTCCAATAGGTATCTAAAATTTAATTTCAAAGATGGATTATATAGCACATTTCAAGATTTCCAAAATGTCCAAGAACTCTCCAAGATAATTTTTGAGTAGGGAGAATCGAAGAAGGGAAGTTAGCATTTTCTCACTTTTGTTCAAGCCATTTTTCACATAGCATCAAGTTGCAAATCACATTTATACTGGTTGTATCTTGCTTTACAGGTCCTAATATTTCTATGCACTCCATAATTAAATGCAAACTCAGAGGCTAAAGGCATTATCTTTTCTTTTGAAGCTTTACACAAGATGCATTTCCATTTTTGGCCAAAAGGTTACAATGCCATTTTCATAAAGTTGAACTTTTGCAACTTTGTCAATCTTGAGCATTGAACATGTCCCTTTGGTACAAGCAATTTCTACAGGTCTCAAGCAATGTATACCAACTCTTATCAGCCTCCAAGCTAGCCAGTACAAGCATGTGTGATTAGTCACTTCACTTTACTTAAAATGCAAGGAAAGTTGCAAAAAGGTCCAAGGCTTGCACAGCTAGTGAAGAGCTAACTTTGTATCACTTCTATATAAATATACAAACTTGTTACAAGGCTTAGAACGCTGGCATTGAACCTGAAACACTCTCAAACTCAAAAACACCAAATTTCTGCCAAAATACTCAGAATCTGCAAAACCATAGCCAACTCTCATTTGGCTCGTGCGTTTTGTGTTTAAACACTTCAAGCATCTCATAAACATCATACCAAAGCAATCCAAGCCATCACCCTGGTTCTGTAACCCCTGTTTCAGCATCCACCATTTTCACTTTGGAAGCTTACAGCTTGACCTGTCCAGAGAGTTTCAGCCATCCTCAGAGCAAGCTAAGCATTGGAATAGGTTCAGGGAAGTTCAAGGAAGCTTAAACAATCACCAGGCCTCCATTAAAGTCCCTACATTGTCCTACACAAATCCAGCTGAATGAGGTAATTTCTTAAACTCTATCTCTCTGAATAGGCAACTTCAAGCCACGATTTGTGAAGAAAAAATGTAGCCCTTATCATGACAAAGCTGTACATATCCATACTTTTCATTTATATTACTTGTGCTAAGAGAATTTGAAGATTGAAAATGCTGAAATTTTTAGGTCACGAATTAGGGGTTCCAAAATTCTCCTTGATCTTTTAGAGTTAGGTTACAAATTTATATGGTTGGAATCGTGAGCTCAAATGCCACATGTTTCATGTTATGAGTTTTTGTTTTTATGCAAGCATGTGAGAGTTACAGGTTTGAAATGAAACGCGCGAAGAAGAAGACCAAGGACAGGGACGAAGTGGCTTATGGGCTTTTTGGCAGCTTTGGCCTTTTTGTTTTCACTAAACCCACCCCCCTGACTTGTTATTTACACCCCCTGGCTAACTTTTTATATTTTTGTATTTTTCTTCATATTTTTATATTTAATACTTTCATTTATTTTTCTTAATGATAAAAAATACCAAAAAATGATTTATTTATTTTCACACTTTTATTTTATTTTTTTATTATTTTTTTCACATAAAAATAGTTTATTTTTTATAAATAGAACTTATTTTCTTAAATAACTTGTAAATATATAAAAAAATACTTAATATTTTTATTATAATATTTATACTCATAAATACTTATTTTCTACATACATTTAATTTTTAATATTTAGGTATAATATTATTTATTATTTTCTTATACAAAAAATATGCAAAATAATAAATATAGAACATTTATTTTCTTTTAATTAAAAACTAGGGTTTACCCCTTTCAAAAAGAATTAGCATATTTTTTTCCTTATAATTTTTAGGGTTTAAGTTAAATATATTTTCTACACAAAAACAAGACATAAAAAATCTTTTCTTTTACATACATGTGCATTGCATTTTAAATATTTGTCTTTATTTATTTAAAGTCGCGCAGTATTCGATTTGGTTGTAATAATATATTTAGGTTTATATTTGTGCAAAATCCCCATTCAAAACTTGTATCTCCCCTCCCATAATAATTGTTGTAATAGCTTAGTTTATTTTACGCAATTTATCGCTTTATATACCATGTTTAGTAAATTAGGGTTTGCATGACAAGAACAAAAATCAAAACAAATAGAAAAAACCTAAATGCAAGATAAAAGCATGAAAATGACACACTTTGCACACAAGCACCCTTAGGGTTTCTCCCACTTGGTTGCCTAAAATAAAATGGCCATGTTACGCACGTGAAGTATCTTGGCAAAACAAAACAAATATAAGATCATAGTCCCTCGATGACGCTATTCAAAGGTTGCCTAAAACAAAATGATCTTGGTCCCTCAAAAATGCTAAGATACTATTGCTATCATGGTTATACGATGACCCACGTCCGTCCCATTTACATCCAAAGATAGGGTTGCTTACCAAATCAATGGTAAGTCAACAATATCAAAGGAATAAAAATACACAAGAAAGACATTTGAGTAGGTAGATAGCTTCTAGTTACTTATTCCATTTCAAAATAATCGTTGCTATCACTACGCCAAAAATAAGTTTTAGCAGTACATAAAAGAAAACGCTTTTGGAAAAAAGCGTTGCTGTAGGTTTTAAAAAAAATTCGCTTAAAAAAGCGCTTTCAAAGGGTGCCTTAAGAAAGTGCTTTTCAAAAGCGCTTCTAAAGGTCACCCTTAGAAAGCGCTTTTTGGGAAGCGCTGCTAAAGCTGGGCTTTCAGAGGGTACCTTAAGAAAGCGCTTTTCAAAAGCGCTGCTAAAGGTCAGCCTTAGAAAGCGCTTTTCCAAAGCGTTGCTAAAGCTGGCCTTTAGAAAGCGCTTTTAAAAGCGCTGCTATAGGATATGCTACGAAAGCGCTTTTTGATGTAAAAGCGCTGTTATAGATGACCTTTAAAAAGCGCTTTTAAAAGCGCTTTCGTAGGTAGTTTTATAATAAATATCAAAACACAATTCGTATCACTTTTCTATTCTCAGTCAGATTTTCTTCACGAAAAAACCCTAAACCAGAGCTTCTATGGCGGTCAACGACGCTCCACTTCTCCGGCCAACTGCAATTCGTATCAGGTTTCATTTTTTTAACATTGAAAACCTACTGTTGTTTTTAATAATTCCAATACAACATTGAAAACTTTTTTAACATTTTGTATTTCATTTTGTTGAACAAATGGTTAACATCTTACTATTTTGATGATTTTTGTTGTTAGCTGGTTGGAAGATGCAAGGAAGCATGAAATATGACAATTATGCTGATTGGAAACAAGTGCGATCTTGCTCACAGACGGGCCGTAAGCACTGAAGAATGTGTCAGTTTCAAATCCATTAAAATAAAATACTTCAAAGGCTGGGAGACGAACCGTGCAGGAGGCACAAAAAGCTGAAAAAGCTGTTTCTAAAGGTTATACTTAAGATTCATTCCCTGATCTGAGTTTTTTTGCATTTGGTAAAACTTATGGGGATGATTCCATACATGATATATGTTTAAGATTTCAAATATACATATTTTTTGGTTTGATATCATGTATGTGTATTCCAGTAAAAGTAAAATCTTATATATGAATTGTTGTTAAGATTATTATTTCTTGAAATTTGAGCTGTAAGTGGTTTGCAGCTCGGGGAAATAATCTACTAGACAAATATATGAATTTTTTGTACACAATTGTCAAATAATCCACTAGACAAATATGGATGCTCTGTTTGTTATGCTAAATTATTGTTGCAGTTAAGAAATAGCAGTAGTGATTCTGTGTTGGAGGAAGACACTTCAAAAGCCAATTCAAGAGGCTTTGAAGTTTATGCTTACCAACAAAATGGTTCGAGAAACACAACGGACGAGGATGGGAATTATCAAAGTCAATATGAAAATGCATTTGCACCAACAAACAAATATGAATGCTCTACTGCAGGTTTTTCCTACTTTCTCACCAAATTTCAAAAAGAATAAGTTTTAATCTAACTTGTCTAATTCACATTAGAATCAACCAGCTTTGGAAAAGGATCGATATAAAATCCGTCATGCATTCATGGTTGCTCCTGGAAATTCTCTTATAGTTGCTGATTATGGGCAAATATATAGTTTACTTATCGGTTTAATTGAGATAGTTGCTTGGTATTTCATTCTGTTGATGGAGTTGTTATGCATTGTTACAGTTTTAACTTAGGATACTTACACTTCTTACTGATTGTAAGAGAATGTTGGAAGCTTTTGAAGCTGGCGGAGATTTTCATTCCAGAACTGTAATGAATATGTATCCATATATCTGTGAAGCGGTTGATAACAAGGAAGTGCTTCTTGAATGGTACCCTCATCTTGGTGATGACAAACCCCCTGTTCCTCTCCTCAAGGTAGATTTTCTTCTCATCTACTTTAATTTTACTTGGTATTTCATATCGATTATTAACTATTTCCTTTCTTACGATGTGTTTTCTTCTGAAAGAAGAAAAGCCAAAATGATGTTACTTTTTCTTTTCTTAGGATGCATTTGCTTTATAAATTTCTTATACATGTGCTATTTTTTGTTTAAATGCAAATATTGATGTTACTTTTTTGTTAGTATGTACTTAGATGATTATTGTGGTAGCACTTTGTTTTGTAATGTTTCTCTACTTCAACAACATTTGGGCCTCAGATTCTATATTTCTCATGTGACTAATTTACATGTTTTGCATCTCTGGTTAAATGATTTCTATGTTATATAATTTTATTATCTCGGTTCTATTATAGGCTTCTTTTTTTGGAGACTCAAATTTGTTGTAGTTGTAATTGTAATGTTCTATATTTGCATTTGTTTAACGATTCTTGATCCAAACGAGTCCATGGTCTAACCCTATGAAAGCGCTTTTTCAAGAAAAACGCTGCCTTAGGTAACCTATGAAAGCGCTTTTTCACAAAAAGCGCTGTCTAAGGTAAACATATGACAACGCTTTTCCAGGAAAAAGCGCTGCTAAAAGACCACCTATGAAAGCGCTTTTCCAGAAAAAAAAGCGTTGCTAAAAGCCTACCTAAGACAGCGCTTTTCCAGAAAAAAATGATGCCTTAGGTAGACCTATGAAAGCGCTTCTTCATAAAAAAGCGCTGCCAAAAGCCTACTTAAGAGAGCGCTTTTTAGAAAAAATGTTGTATTAGGTAAACCTACGAAAGCGCTTTTCATTAAACAAAAAGCGCTGCTAAAACCTATAGCAGCACCACCTTAGAAAGCGCTTTTAAGCGCTTTTAAAGGCCAAAAAAAGCGCTTTCTTAGGTCTTTTTTGGTGTAGTGTATTTTCAAAAACAAACACACACATTTCAAAAACATCTTACCAAAACATTGAAAACATTTTCAAAAAGACAAACATCTTTGTATATATTCTTACGAACAAGAATCATTACAAAGATTGCCTAAGCGAATGGCCTCTTTTACAAAATACTTTCAAAATCACACCAAACACCATTTCAAACAAAGCAAAGCAAGTGATCTAAACAAGTAACTAAGAGCCCATGGAAAACCATGGATGAAAAGGGTGCTAGCACCTTTCCTTTTCATAATCTACCCCCTGAACTCAAGAAAACATCTCAAATGTCTTTCCTGTGCTTTTTTACCTTTCCTTTTGGATAAAAGAAAAGTCGGTGGCGACTCTTGCTAACCGCGACATTTGCAAACACAAAACACAAAACCTAAAGTCAGTTCTCCCACCGCATCACACACTTCATGTATTTTTATCTCATTATATGCTTCTTGCACCCCATCATATTGTTTATACGTCAGTAATATTGATACTTCGGTTTTACGGATAAATTGTTAAAAGTGATTTGACATTGTGCAGAAAATCAGCGAGAAAATATTTCAAGTTTTCATCTTTTACTGACTGATTTATGAATCTGCATTTCACGTAGATCATGTTGGTGCGCTCGCTTTATTTTTTATTACAGTTTGCATTCTCTTTCTTAATCGTTCTCGTCTATGCAGTCAAATATTTTTATTCTCATTTTATTTTGATTTTGATCATTTGAGAATTTTTTATGAACCTTTGGGACCCGTAGTTTATAATGTGTTTATTTCACTTTTTCGATTAACTAAATATTTATTTTTTATCGTTTTGAATCATTTTGAATTTCTATTTTTTATTCAGAAAAATAAATAAAAAATATTTTAAATTATATTAATTAATTTTTATTCTTTTAAATTTTTAGCTTGACCTTATCCAAAAGGGCTTTTTAGCTATTTAATTAATTTACTAAATCTAAGTTTTTGTGTATAAATAGAATAGAGAGAAGATAGTTTGTAAGGGGAGCAACTTCTCAGATAATCAAAACCAAAACAAAAGATATACAGAAACGGCAGAGACCTCCCTTAGCTTCTTCTATTCGTTCCATCACCAAACCTTAGTCCTGTGTACACTAGCCACTTCCATCACCATCATCATATACTCTCTCTCTCTCAACCTCTGTTTTCCAGAACAACCATTTTCACAAACATTCATACCCACTTCTTATTCCATACTCACTGTCATCCCTTCTAAAATCACTTCTCCAATATTTATTCCTTTTCGATCTTTACCGCACAGCCATTACTCACGTGATACTCCCACTTCATCGCGAGACAACCTCACGAAAGCTCCCTCTGTCGCGTTTCACCTCACCACCAGTTTTACCTCACTGTGAACCACCCTTCATCTTTCAACGCAAAACCATACTCCCTCCATCTCCACCGAGAATACCCAGCCTATCTTCACCTCACGTAACCCACATCTTCCAATTCCCGCAAGCCAAAACCCCATCTCCACGCTAACTTCCGATACTCCATCTCAGCAGTGACCAACACGGCGCCTCAAAACCCTCTCTATCAATTTCAGACCTGAACCAATCAATATCCACCTCTTACCCATTACAAACTTCATGATTTCTAAAAGCTGATATGTAAGATAGAAAAAAGTGGAGAAGAGTCATCTTTTTTCCGATCCAATTCTTCCACCATTTCACCACCGAGCAACTGTTCTCAACCTTCCTTTTCCACTCCAAAACCCGTCGAACAATACTCCTTCCGCTCACCAGCAGAATCCACACGCTTACCTCCACATACTTCTGCAGAAACCATAACACTCCATTCTATTGTGACTATTATTTATTATTCTATTTTACTTTTAGTTTTTTTTATTTAGAAGATTTTGTTAAGTGTTATTTCAAGTAAATTGGGCTTGACACTTACTTTGGTCTAAGCCCAATTGTTATTTCTTATATACCCCATTTAAATTTTGCATTCATATTTTGTTCTTTTTGTTTTTTATTTTAATTTAGTATTTGATAAATATTAAAAATCTAAGTAGAATTTACTTGTAAATAAATTTAAGTTGTGTTGCTATTCTCATGATTGTGTTGTGATTTCGAACTTTGAATTCGATTTAATTTTTGAATGCATTTGAACACAAATATTTTGGGCGACCTGTTAGAGTCGATTCCTACATGAATCTACTCTAAGATTACTTAACAAAGTGCAATATTTAGTTGCTTTCGATTCACTTCATTTCGGTCTTGTAGCTTATTCTTGCGCCCTATATGAGACTTTAGGTAGTTTCTATGTGCTATTGATTTTGTTTGTGTGTTTCATCTGATGCAGGGATTCTAATTCAATATTATGATGATCATTCAATGCTCTAAGCTTTATCTGACACCTTGGATTTACTTGATGCATTCTTTTCTCGTGATTTATTCTCACCTGATGCATTCTCTGCTTGTGATTTATTTTCACCTGACGTTTGTTATACTCTTGGTTTATTCTCTGTTTGTGATTTTAATTCAAAAGATGTGAACGCTATATTGACTTCATTATGTCAAGTATTGACTTCTTTGTTTGGTTAGATATTTCTTACCTTAGCTTTTATTTTTTGCTTTAGGATAGTCTCTTGATCTCCTCCTATTCTTCAATTTTCAAAACCTTCTCATCTTTTTCAAAACCTTTTTGTTTTTTTAAATTCGGACCACTTTCATAATAAACCTTGACTTTGTCAAATGACTTCTTTTTCAAACTTCTTTTCTTTAATAAATGTTAAACGACATAAGCATATTCTAACACTTTAAAAAAGACTAAAAACATCCAACCTTATTCAAACCTTTTTTGAGCTCTCATGCACCTTTTCTCCTTTAAAACTTTTTTCAAGATTAGACATGAGTCATTTATAGTTGAGATGCCATTCTCCTATCCCCATGGTTGTAAAGATGCCTACATTTTCACTTGAGTACTAGAGGTGTGTCCAAACCCTCCTTCATGTTGGTGCGTTATTCCTTTTTTTCATACTTTGTGGGCGATTAAGCGAGTCTTCTCTCTAAAAATAACGACTTGTCTCTCATTTAAAATCAATCAACACATTAAGTTTTGTTCTTTTTTAGAAGAACTACGGTGCTCTAATTCTTTCGGGATACATAGGCACAAGGTTTCATGACCGAGGTGAGCTCAATAATAAAAAAACATGTCTTTTATTTGTAAATATTCATTATTCATTCCCTTTAACAAGTAAGTATTTAGATAACACACATTTTGATTAGAACAAACAAAGTAGATCATGTGGAGTACCGTAGATGTTTAGGGTGCTAATACATTTCCATTGCATAACTGACCCCTTACCTTGATCTCTATTTCATTTTGGATTTTATTCGCTCTTTTCTCATTTTCCTTTAGAAACAATAAAGTGTGGTGACAGCTTTCACTGTATGAGTTAAGTCAATTAATGGTTTAGTCTCAAATTTTCACCGTTACATTTGCTACATTATTATCGGACTTGTTCAACATGTATATTTTCAACCAATCTCAACAGTTGAATATTAAATAGGACGTCTCAAATATGCATATTTACAATTAGGGGTGGAAATAGGTCAAATCAATAATAGGGACCTACTGGCTAGCCTACGTAGGCCCAGACTAAGCTAGACTTTTTTTTAAATAAAAAAGACTCAGGCTTTTTTATAAACCTATTTAGTTAAAAAAAAAAAAAGCTAGGCCACAAGCCATAAAACAACATTTTAAGTCTATTAGGCCGGCCTATTTAAATAAATATGAATAATTTTATTATTATTATATGGTGTTTGTATTTTAAATTAAAATACAAAAATCAAGTTTAGATGTCTAGAAGGATTTATGAAAATACGCTGAAAAAACTTATGAACAATGTCATAAGTTGTTTTCGTAAGTTCTCTCAAGCAAATAGTATCACAAAGTATATGTTAATAGATAAACTTGAATAAATCAATGCAAAATAGCATTTAGTCTAATTAATATTTTAACTTATTAGTCTATTTTAACATTAATTGAATTGTTTATTTTAAAATGTTCAAATAAAATAGTTTTCATATAGGCTAATAGACCATTCAAACTTTGGTAAAAATCAGACTTAAACCTAAAAATAAATTTTTGATAGGCCTCAATACTTAAGTTTTAAAATTTTTAATAGACTATACTCAAACTTGACATTAACTAAGCTTTGCTTAACAAAACTTTAAATATTTATTATAACAAAAGAAAGATTATTTTTTTTGAATTTATTCAAATAATGTAATGGGTTTATATTTAATCCAAAATATTGATTGCATAAATAAAATCTAAAAGGTAAATTCATAATAAAGATCAAAAGAATACAAAGATACAATAAATAGTGGATGGAATAAGGAAACCCATCCAAAATCTAGAAAAGATAAAGTTATAGAATATCTGACTGCGAGAGAATCTGAAATGGGCGTGTGCGCGTCTTGTCACAATGTGAAAACCCCACACACTCCAAAAACACCCGCTACTGGGAAAGAGAAAGACGCTGTCCACGGTGGTTCTGGTACACCACGTGCAGCGGAATCTTTTCGAAGACCATCGTCGATCATGGTGATGAACATTTCCAACGGATCGATCAAAGAGTATAAACAACCGATTTCAGCAAGCGTCGTCGTTTCGGAGATCAGTAACAACAATTGCTGCTACATCTCAAACGCGGAGTCAATGCGCATAGGCACGTGTATGCCACGCGTTCCTGACGAGGAGGAGCTTCTACCTGGTCGAATCTACTTCATCGTTCCGATTTCGCATTTGAATTACCCATTGTCGCTTCCGCTTCTCTGTGATCTCGCCGTTAAAGTTGGTTCTGCACTTTGCCAACTCACAGAGACTGCGCGTTAACGTCGAGTAAGTTAATTCTAACGTTTTCCGTTTTCCGTTTTTTTTTTAATTTCTTTCATTTATGATATAAAAGAAATTCTATTGACCTGAATGAGTGCGACCTTCTTGAAGAATTATCATTATTATAAATATATCTGTCTATTTAATGTTTATGACTTTAAATTTGGATTGAGTGTTAATATTTTTTTTGGATATAAGTGATGTTTTTCTAATAAATGTATTTTATAATTTATATTTATTATCTAAAAAATTCTATAAACACTTTTAGTTATTCATATAAACAATTATATATATGTAGTTTTTTAATTTATGCAGGCATAGAGAATCTATGCAGGCGCTCCTTAGTGGCTAGCCTATTGTGGCATGCTAGACTAATAATAATAATAATATGATTCATGCATGATGCATTGATTCAAGTATTAAATTCAAAAACAATGAAAATATAGCTCAATATAGTGAATGATGTACTAATTTGAAACTTGAAAAATCAATGTTTAAAACTGGCAAAGTATAAATGTTAAAATATTAAAGAAGCGAGCATTTCATTCAAACAAATATCGTAATAGTTTATCCAACTACATTGACAACAATCAATAGTCATCAAACAAATTGAAAGAAATCAATCATAGAATGTATGTCACTAATAGAAGAAATCAACTTGTTCAGCAATATCAGTTGCAGAACCGTGTATAGGTTCAAACAATGCAGGTCACTGATTCAATAAGAATGCATAAACCTTTTAGGTGAAATCAATAGCATAAGACAAAGTATTGCATGCAAACTTGATAAACATGCTCATCATTTAAACTATAACTTATCAAGTACATATATATGTTCATATCGAATCCCCAAGGCTAGCAGAAGGAACCATTCCAATATCAAACAAATTGAAAGTTAAAACATTTATAGTGGTTGAATAGTTAAAAAAATTATTGGAAGTGAATAAATTGTACCACCGAATCTCTATCTTCAAGTGGCATAAAACAACAACAGAAAAACTTAAAAGAAGAAAATTAAAATTGTAGCATCCAAGAAAATGATAGGTCGTTTACCTACTATTAATATAGTTTGGAAGACTTATTTGAATATAACATTGGTACTAGTTGAATATGATGCATTGTCCTTGTTATTGTCGTAGTGCGAAGTATACTCGAGTGCATCGCACACTCGAAATACAGCAGAGTCGCCACCAAACTTTATTTATTCTAAAAAAAAAGGGGGAATATCGAGAAAACCCACAAAATAAATGATAAGATAGTCATCGCAACCAAAAGCATGTTTGAGAGTCGGTTATGCAAAGGGAAAATATTATCACTCCTCGCATCTATTGAATTCAATGATACCCATTTAGTTAGTTTCGTGATTGAATGTTAGCGTGATGTTTACTTGCGTCCTAATTATTATGTGGGGAAAAGAGAAAGAAGGAAAAATATTTTTGGTTTTTATTATTGGGTTCGACAAAATTTCATAACCTTGTGCCTACGTATTCTCGAGTGCAATGGAAAAGTCAAAACTTATATAGTTCTTGGCGAATTTTGTTTTGAGTTTTGGGAAACACGGACGAGTGTTTAGACCAACACAAACGAGTGTTGGAGAAAGCGTAAGAAGGGTTCGCGCTTGGGCGAAAAAAAGTTTTTGAAAAAGGATTCACACTTGGGCAAAATAAAGTAAAATACTCGCACTTGGTCGAAAGGTTAAGAAAAGTCGCACTTGGGCAAAAAGTGAAAAAAGGTTCGCAATTGGGCGAAAGATTGTTTTTGGATTTTAAAAGGTCGCCAACGGTTTATTGAAAAAGGTTGTCTGATGAGACGTTATATCTCGCTCCTACGTATCTTCCGGTATAATGAGGAACTCAAGACATACATAATTCTGGGGAACTACGCTAGGTTGGGTTTAGGTTTTGAAAAAGGCACTTCATATTGATCAATTATTTTGATTTTTATGAAAATGATTTGGTTTTATTTTGAAAATGACTTGGTGTTGACTCAGGTTTTGTTGCATTGGTTGAAAATAACTTGAAAATTTTTGAATGAAAAAGACTTCAAAATGTCGATTGCTTTTATTTGTGAAAGTGTTTGGTTGTTGTTGAAAATGAAAATAATTTGGGTGCAAAACGGTAATAAAAAGGTTTTTTGGATGATGACGCGGAGACGAATTATTTGTGAAACGAGTGAATGCATAAGCGACTTACTTTTTGTTCTATAAAATGTCATTGATGTTGATCAGGGTTTTCAAGCTAAAAAAACTAAGTTCATTTGTTTTTTTGATTTTGAAAATGACTCGACGTTGAATCAATCGTTTTTATTGTTCTTTTTGAAAATGATTCATTTTATGTTATCTTGAATTAACAATAGCTAAAGCAATAAGAACAAAATAAAGAAAAAGGCGGTAAAATTATTACATGTCATAGAAATTGGGTATATTTTATTGATTGAGAATATAATTAAGCGATTTAAAATACGAGCCGATTAAACAAATACATAAGTGAATTAATCAATTAATTAAAAATTGAATAAATAAATTAACTATACTAATAAAAATTTATTAATAAAACTAATCAATTTTAATTAATAAAATTAATTAATTAAAGTAATATTTAATTAATTGATTGATTTTAGCGCTATATTAAATAATTTTAAAATGAATATTATATAAGAATCACTCTATAAGAGACTAGTCAAAAATATATGCGTCCATGTGTATTTGAAAGATAAATTGAATTAAAACTCCCAAAATTACAAAATAAAAAACGACACATCTTGAATATGTACATATGTTATTTACATCATTACAAAACCAAAAGAAAGAAATAAAAAAGGAACATAAAGAAGGTGCAAATAACCAAATGAATAGTGTAATCAAGTAAAATAGAAAAGATTTAAAGCCAAGACCCAAATCTAACCTTAACCCTTATTATTATAGAAATTAAGCAAAAAACAAACAAATAAAAACTAACTGAAATGAGACGGTGGCTCATTCTTTTGTTTCTAATTATGGCAACAAAATCTGTATTCGTGGGTATCAATCTGAATCTAAAAATAAATATATTTTTTATTTGAAACTAAAAATAAACACATCAAAATATCTACTTGTAACAAAGTTTAATTAAAAGGTGACCGCAAACAACGTCGAAAAAATAAAATAAACGTACCAACACGACCTACACGCAATTTAGATTCATAAAACGCTCAGTTAAAGATCAAAACTCAAAATATTTTCTCCGCTACTTCTATCTGGAGATACGGAGATGGGAATTCTTTGTATCGACGAGATTGAAGATACTTAAATACATAAGACCCAAATTTTAGCCCTAAGATGTCGCACAATGTTTATGATATGAATGCAAATGGTCGAACTTCGTGAGGAATACGTTGTGGGAGATAAACTTTGTGGGGAATTACAACTCTAATTTTGCTGGAGAAAAAAACTTGAAGGGAGTCCGACAAGGAGACATAACTCACTAGGGAACGGCACAACACCATGGGGGTCTATGCCGGAGATAACCCAGAGCACATCCAGAGGTGAAAAATATAGCAACACACAATGGGAAACTCCACTCGAGAAAGTACAACATGAAAAACAGACACTGAACTTACTTGGAAATAAATCCTGAGTAAGTCAGTCAGAAACAAGAATCACTACCAACTCATAGTTGAAGGCAGGAAATAGGATCTAAACCTGCTACCAACTAATAGTGAAAGGCAGTACGCAAGGGTGTCACTGGAGACATAAGAATGGCAACTTATTTTTAAGCACATGAAGCTTAGATGCTTGAAATCAAGGGTGTTAGTTCGGAGGCATATGAATGTTTAGAGGTTATTCCCAAGATAAATGGTGTAAGCATGCTTTTCTATTTTATTCTAAATGTGATATCCTCATGAACAATTTAAGTGAGTCTTTCAAATCAACCGTTTTGTTACAAAGGGACAAACCAAAATTAACTATGTTTGAGTGGATTAGAAATTATCTGAGTAGTGAGCATGTCCCGGACATTCAACCAATAAGTATTGACACATCACCCGTGAAGTCAAGTGCAACAAAGCCAAGTCCATCAAAGGAAAGCCCGACAAAGTAAAGTCCATCAAAGGCAAGTGCATCAAAAGAAAGCCCAGCAAAGCCAATTCCATCAAAGGCATCTGGTGTTAGAACTTTCTTTGTTAAACAACCAAAAGCCTGTACCAACAATGCCTTCAAACCACCAAGAGTTGGGACATTTTCTGAACCAAAGCCAAGTAGCAGTGATATTGTGATTATGTCAAATTCATGCTATTCCATATGTCTATTGATCACTTATGTTTATTTCTTCTTGTCATATGTCAAGAGATTGATTCCAACTAACAAGTTGAAGAAAAATGCTAACTTGGCAAATGCAACAAGAAAGAGTGACAAACTAAGGACTCTCAAATCAAGAGACATAGTTGGCCCTAGTAAAGAACCTAATAATCTATCGGTGATTAATGGAGATGAAGAGACCACAATAGATGTCATTGGTGGTGTAAATATTTCAAAAAACCAGACAGACATTTGTAAGGGCCTCACACAATGAAGAATGTGCTGATAATATGTTGTTTATGTTTTATATTGTCATATGTTTGTATTTAAAGATATTTGAATGGTGTTGTATAATCACCATTTAAATTGTAATGTGATCAATTATGTTTAAGTTTTTGTTATGTACTTTAATAGAATTGATCAATGTGTCAACTATATTGTGACCAATGTAGTGTAATGACTAGAGCATACACTCTTTTGAAATTTGTTGTAATGTCATTAACTATTATGATATATAATGAATGTATTGTCATAAAAATTTACGTACTGTACTTTTATGATTTGAATGGTGTTGTGTAATAGTGTAATCATATTAAAAGGAGTGTCACATGCCAAATAGAATGTAGTGTCACAAACCAAATTTTGAACATTGTCATGGCCAAACTATGTAATCTGTTTTGGCTAAACTAAGGAAAATTAAGGCCAAAGTATAAGTCTTTTGATATAAT